GGGTGGGTGCGACGCAAGTATTTCTGTAGGTGCTTGGGGAGCACTGCTTGTTCCGTGTCCCTTTTATGGGCCGCTACGTGCGTGTCTCCTCTCCGGCTTGACCTAGGATCAGGAATGACTGCTGTGTCATAATTTTTGCGTAGCAGCTTGGGATGGTGTCGGTTAACAGACTAGTATTGCTAATAGGTGATAACAGCGGTTGTCTCTAGAAGCGGTCATTTCAAATAAAACCTGGTCTTGTATGGAGTTGAACTCTTTCTCTTTTTTTTTTTTTTTCATTCCTTCTTGGAAGGGTCACACAGTCCTCCGGCTGTAACACAGGAAAATGGTAGCCAGAGAGAGGGACCAGAAATAAACATCTCGTGTTGCAATACATGCAAAAGGCCGTATGAACAGTCTACAAATGAAGAACAGTTTGCAAAGCGTGTAAAACACGATGAAGTATACTCAGTGCCTACAGTCAGTCAAGATAAATTTTCATATATGGGTGAGGTCTTTCATTATTCCTGTAATTCTTTTCAGTTCTCTGCACTCTTTCATAAGTAACAAGTGTAATTATTAGAAAGCTTTTGGGGAGGTTTGTGTATGGCAGCGTCAGGCCCGGCGTAACTTTGTTTTGTTTTAAAATGGATATGTGAGCCATGATATATTTGTTCACGTTGTCTTTCAGTGTAATTTTAATTGGCTTTAACTGGTGTCAACGTATTGCTTAATCTGATTGTTATAGGTGGGATTTTATGTGTGTCTGAATCGCAGACTATATTTAAATATATAGATGTAGCTGGGAAGTTGTAAGGATGACTAAAGAAGACAGGAGCTGTAGTGAAAATATGGAACTTGGGGCAAAGGTGCTTCTTGAGGCTGACGGATTTGACTCCAGCGAGGGTGTGAAGCTGCAGTGGGACTTCTGTTCTGCATTACTAATTTACATGGCTTCTGTAGTTAACTTTTTGAAGGGCTGTCTGGGGAGGGAAGTTTTGGGAATTAATCTGCTGGCAGACATTTCTTTTTGCTTAAAGAGTCTACATCCTTGAAGGAGTGCTTGAACTTCTGCTTTTGGTAATTCTTTTGTAGGTGACTTTGCAGTCGTTTACACAGATGGTTGTTGCTCAGGTAATGGCCGTAATAGGGCACGTGCTGGAATAGGTGTCTACTGGGGACCAGGCCATCCTTTGTAAGTAGCTGGATGGATTCTTTTTTTTTTTTTATTTTTATTTTACTTTAGTATATTACTGTTTGCTTTGTGTGATTTACAATATCAGCCTCCTTTGAATATGAAACCCTGCTGTTGAGACTCCTAATGACAGTGCTATGAGACTAGTGAGTTACTGAGGGGGAAAGAGGAATCAGCTTCTCTGGGAGATAAGAATGTGGAGAAAATCAACTGGAAATAATATTTTTAAGGGCTGAAGCTATAATTCAAGTAATGCAGAAAGTTTTAAAATAGGTGTAGGTGTGCACAGAAGACAGCAAATGTAATTGCATATTGTTGGCAGGTCCTCCGTATATGCAGGTTGGACTATGCAGGTGGAAGTTAGAGCTAGAATATCTGTTCATCCTCCTTTATAAAAAGAAAGGTAGCTCTCTTGTATTTATTTTTCTAATGCGCAGTCATTATACACCATTCTGAATATTTGGGGTTACTAATCTACTATTCATTCCATGGACACAGAAATACCAGTGAAAGACTTCCTGGACGGCAGACTAATCAAAGAGCAGAAATACATGTAAGTAGTAAATGTCATAAAATGCTTCTGCCCATTAGACTGCAGTAGCACGCTCATGACTATTTCAACTCTGGCCTTCAGAAACTGGTTACGGAGCTGTGAGGGAAGTACACAAAATATCAGGAGTTATGACTTGAAACAAATCATTCTCTTCAAGTTTTATTGATCTCTCTTGGTTTTGAACAAGGTAATTCACCTTGAGAATTCCCAAATATCATCAGGCCAAGCACAGCTATTTAAAACAGCCTTGTTTTAGGAAAGCCTGGTTCTCAAATCTGTAGAGTATCCTTTGCATTTTTAATGCATGCATCTCAGACCTTGGAGTGAGGGCCGCAGAGTAGCGGTTAAAAGGACAATCGGCTCCTTGCTGTGATAGGATCAGAGTATCATATTCCTTAGATAAATAAACAATTCTAGGCTCTCAGGAGTAAATTCTGTTACTTCTGAAATAAACTTCCATTGGCAACAGCAGATTTAGTCTTCCCTCCTCACCTCTTCTTAATTCTGTTATGCTGCTATCCTGCACTGTGTGTTTGGAGATGAACTGAAATGGGGAATTGATCTGCTTAAATACCACAGAGGCCTCATTTTAGTGAGGGACAAGCAGAGGTGATGGTGGTGTGCCAGGGGTGAAACTTGTCACTAAAGAGATTTTCAGTTTTACATTCAGACCCAGCCACTTCTTGCTCTTATTATATTGCATAGCACCAAAAAACCTTAATAAAACCCTTCTAGGGGTTCCAGACTGTTGGAACTGGTATGAATCCTTCCTCCTCAAAGTTGTGGAGAAAAGGCCTAAAACCTGGTGTGTGGTTGATAGAGGCTTTGGTAGAAGATTGGGCAGAGAGCTACTCCTTCAGTAGAGTTGAACATCAGAATGTTTTGGGGTTTTTTTGCTAGTGAAACTTAAGCAGCTTCCTGTTTGCCTGATTCATTAAGTGGTCGTCTTCATGCATAATTTTGAGAACCTCTGCTCTAAAGCATGTTGATACTCATTGATGGAGACATTACTGTAATATTTGTAGTTCAGTGTTAGCATCAAGTACTTTGCTGGTATTTTAATTGCATGTGTTCAAAATCATGTTCTGAACTGTGATTCTATTGAAATGTTCTTAAGGCAGCCTGCAAAGCAATAGAGCAAGCAAAGAGTCAAAACATCAAGAAACTAATTATCTACACTGATAGCAAGTTCACTATTAATGGTAAGTTAATTATTTTAGTTTTCCTGATTCTTTAAGACACACTGCACACTGTTTCATTACATAAGGTGCACAGAACATACTGAGTCCTGGGGAGAGGGATATAAGGACGAGAATTCATAACTTATTTCAGTACTCTTGGGGAAAACCAGCATTTTTGTCTTAAGGCATTCAGTATGACACAGTCTAGAAAAAATGTTGTTCATGTATACTCTCAACGATCTGCTCAGAAGTTGGTGTAGTAACCCTGTAGGTATTTTGGTTTGTTTTGCTTGGATTGGAGAGGCTTTCTTAATACGTACATGTGAAGCACATTCAAGTTTCCTTGCTTTTTACGTGTAGACTACATTTTCAAGCTTTCAGGCTACACTAGAAGACTAGCCAGAGATGGTATGTGCTCAGAATATGTATTTAAAGTTTTACCTTCATCCAAAGATTTGGAAAATTTAATTTTATTCCCTATAAATGCCATATGAAGCGGGCAGTAAGATGATTCCTGAATAAAACTTTTTCCTCTCTCCCCGAGATCTTCAGATTTTACTCCTGTGATAATTTGGAACTGCATAAGTATTTTTTTCTTTGTATTTCACATTTTTATAAAGGGAGTACATGTGTTTGCTGTTTCTAGATCACTTTGGAGTTTTTGTTTTTTCTCATTAAACAAAAACACTGCAACTTTTGATGGAAAATTAAATGTTGCGCTTTCACACTTTGTTTTTTTGGGGGGAGAGATGGGGGGGAATGTGAGTATCTTGTTCTTAGCATAACTTCCTATACTTGAGCGGTAATGCTGGAGGTAATCATCTGTTTCATTGCTTGTTACTAATAAAGCAAATAAATGGTTGGTATGTTAAAATTCTGTCTAACTTTTCTTCCAAATAAGTCATTCTGCTTTCTAGAAGCCCTCCCCCCCCGCCGCCCCGATTGCTGAAAGTAGAGGAGTACAAGAGAAGAGTGTCAGTTTTTTCCTTTTTCAGGTGGCTCATGCTTAGAAGTAAAGCAGAACTTAACCTTGAAAAACTCTGATGTCACCTTGAGTAGCAATACCCTAGAAAGGACAGAAAGCTACTGAGTAGGAACAAGTGACTGCTAGTCAAGGAAGGAGTTGCTGGAGCTGTCACTTGCTGCTTGTTTCAGATGCTGTTAGCTTCAATGTGCGTGAAAGAGGTTCTGTCGAGAAGTCGAAAGTGTCAAGGGCTTGTGCTCTGTCCTCCTGATTCTAGCTTGTAAGTTGAGGAAGGGACAGTAAATGTTAAGAAACAAAGGAATTTTCCATTGCTTCTTCCTTAAGATCATCTCACAGATCTCTCATTTGAGTAGCTTGTTTTCCCCAAAAGATGAGATACAGCATTTCCTATAGGAGCAGAATGTGTGTGGGTGTAGTGATTTGTTTTGTTTGTTTTTTTCTTGGTGGTGGTGCATTTTTTTAGTCTCTGTTAGAAGCATTCTGAAAAAAGGAAGAGTAAAAGGAAGTCTCTGCTCTTCAGGACTGGGTGTTGCATGCTGATCAATAGAATCCAAGTGCATAATTTGTTGCAAGAAGCAAATTCAAAGCATTAAGGAGCAAAGAAACATCTTTGCAATTCTTTTCTTTGTGAGAGAAAAGTGTATACCATCTTGTCTGTGTAACTGGTGCTATGAAGGAGGAAAAGTTGCTGTGTCAGATAAAATTCCTGTAAAACTTGGGTACGAGACTTAAGCATGAGGGAGGAAAAGAAGAATCTTCACGTGCAATGTCTTAGTCTCTCTGTTCTTCCTTGCAGTTTGCTCTTGCATTTTGGGTCACTGAGGTGCAGGTTCCACTCTTGTTTAGCCAAAGTTATTTTGTAAATGTGTCTAGGAGTTATTTTTTAAAATAGCAGAGGAGGAGGCTTGCAGTTAAGTACAAATGGATGTGGTGTGATTTGGTTTGGGTTTTTAGGGGGTTTTGTGTGCAAGATTGGTGATTCTCTGTTTGGTTCGGGTCTGTTCATCATGAAAGCAGTAAGGATGTCTTACATTGTCAAGAGCAGCAAGGTATTAAAAAAAGAGGAAAAAAAAAAAAAAAAAGATCCTTATTTAAGAAGTAATACAGTAAATTTTCTGGCCAGCAAGGAATAGCCAGAATGTTAAATCTTGTTCTGTAGAAATCTGCTTTTGTGGTCCTTCTCTGAAGGATTCTGTTCAGTGTGCAGAAGTCATGAGACAGCTGGCTGGCTGTTTTTTCTCTATGCATGTATATCTCCTTAGTTTCTCAAAACAAAGTGGTAGATTTGTTCTAGCTTACTGTACCATCAAGCAAATCCTTAGCTTCAGTTTATTGAAGTTCATGTCGTAATTTTATGTGTAATGCATATATAAAATTGTAGTCTTTAAGTTAAATATCTGTTTGGGAAAACATGGTCAGGTAATACAAGTAATAATGGAAAAATAGGATCCTGAAAGACAGTAGTGGAGAACCAAACAAGAATATCTCCTATATCTGGTGTCTTTGCCTGAGACTTTGTGTGGCATTAATGTCTTGTTAAAAGGCTGTTTGCTCTGTCTTATCCTTGTTGGCTTCTTTAATAGCATTTTTATGGTAATGCTTTGTTTGCATAGGTATTACGAGCTGGGTTGACAACTGGAAAACAAATGGCTGGAGAACAAGTTCAGGAGGAAGTGTAATAAATAAAGAAGATTTTGAAAGACTTGATAATCTATCAAAAGGCATAGAAATTCAGTGGGTAAGCACCTCATTTCTTATTCTTAATGACATCTTAAACATGCTTCTTGTAAAAACTTAAAAGTATGACCATAACTGAGAATTTTATAGAGCATAATATTGTACATCCATAAGTAAAACCATAAATACAGTGAAGCTGCTTGTTTAAGCAGCATAACTGAGGCTCTTGGAACCAGTATTTCATTTATTAAAATGCATGTTCATGTTTGTTTTCTGTCTCTTGTTACTACTTAGAAAATGCCTGCAATAATTATTTTTAGTTTGTTAGCACTGTTAGTAGATAAAATTTCTATTCCTGGAAATCTAAGCTTAAAACGTAACTGTGACTTTTTGAGTCATAGCTGAGTTTCTGGATTTGCTTTTCAGAACTCTTAAGATGCTGGTTCCTTGGTGTAACTCAATCACATGATTGTCTTTAAACTGGGAAAACTGAGAGAGTGTAACCCCCAAATAAACTAACTGTACCTTAGCTGTGGTTTTTCTAAGAAAACTGGGCATAGAAGGGTCTTTAAAATACCCATTCTTAAGTTTTAAATTGTTTCGCTCTCCAGTAAAGAAGTAAAATAACTTCTATGCAGGTATTCCTGGTAAAATACATTTTTCTGTAACCTCTAGCATCAGTGCTAAACATTGTAGGGGATATCTTCCCTCTCCTCCTCCTAGATTTTATTCTACTTGTGGCATAAGACTACTGATTCTAGAAGTATTCTGTATCATTGACTTTGTGGCTGCTAATGGCATATTTATGGGCTTCTCTCTTTACTCCGTAGAAAACAGGATGACGTAGATCTTTAACGTGCACTTTTTCTATGGGAAATCTATCGCAGATATTCTTCTGTTCATGGTGTTCTGTGTTCCAGAGTTGGCAACTCCAGTTTAAAGGCTGACTAGATTTTTATATAACTACTCCTATTGTCTATTGAGGAGAAGAAAGTGTAAAAATTTAAAACTAAGACCGAAGTTCAGCTGTCCTTAGAGTATTTTACGTAATGAAAAAAAATACTGTTCTTTATGCACCCTTCTTACACCTGAATTTCTTAAACTTGGGAAGATTTTTATTTCAGGAGGAGCAATGTATGCATACACTTTATTTTAGTAATCTGCCCGCTCCAGTGCGGGGCCCTCCCCGGGCTGCAGGTGGAGATCTGCTCCACCGTGGACCTGCCTGGGCTGCAGGGGCACAGCCTGCCTCACCATGGTCTTTCCCACGGGCTGCAGGGGAATCTGCTTCGGCGCCTGGAGCACCTCTTCCCCCTCCTTCTGCACTGACCTGGGGGTCTTCAGGGCTGTTTCTCTCACATATTCTCACTCCTCTGTCCAGCTGCTCTGCAGCATTTTCACCTTTTAAATACATTATCGCAGAGGCAGCACCAGTTTTGCTGTTGGGCTCAGCTGTGTCCTGCAGTGGGTCCATTTTGGAGCCGTCAGGAACTGGCTCTCTCCAATGTGGGGGCAGCCCCTGGCCTCGTCTCACAGAGGCCACTCCTGCAGCCCCGCACCTGGTACCAAAACCTTGCCATGTAAACCTGATACTATGTCGCACACACTTCATGCTTGTCCCCTCTCAGATCTTGTCAAATAGCAAGCTTGATTTTCTTCCTCTCCTTCCTCGCCCCCACTCCTCCACCCCTACTTCTGACAAGGATGGGCTTAAGGCTGAAAGTGTTTTCAGTTCCTAATTGAAGGATGGATAGTTAAGACATCTGAAAATTGGGAGATTCTTTTCATGCCCCATTTCTGTATCCGAAGTGAGTGCTGTAACCACCGAGGCTGTTAGTGGCATAGAGGTCTCTGGCTTTCTGGGTAAAGATTAACTTGGTTTAAGCACTGAATGCAGATAGGTTTTTCTCTCTTCTCTGAAGGTGGGAATTTTGAGTCGGAGCTGTTGTCTGCATTTCTTAAAGGCTAGGTTAGGTGGTCCTTATCCAGCTCACTACTTACCATAAAGATGATTTTCACAATTTGGCAAGACTTCCCTAGAGGAAGGGAGACTATGAACATTCCTGGGAAGAACACGTAAGGACTAAATGTGAGGAGAGGGCCTCTAAGGAGGTGTTACTGTACTGTGAATGAAAGGGTGTTGCATGATCAAATTTCATGTATGTACTTTTTTTTTCTTGATTTCTTGCATATCTAACGCTTCTATACTTTTGTCCTAACAGATGCATGTTCCTGGTCATGCTGGCTTCCAAGGAAACGAAGAAGCTGATAGACTGGCAAGAGAAGGAGCTACTAAACAGAAGTCCTGATGTACTGGGACTAGAGACTGTTGCAGTGGGAGGAAAAGGACAACATCACAGTGACAGCTTGAACTGCTGTAATTGTTTCAGAGTTGAACTTTGAACTGTACTTCTTTCTGGCCTGAAGTGTTAAACATGTACCAACTTCTGGGGAGAAAAACCTCACATCTTCTATAGCATTTGTTTTACAGTCAAGTCAATATTTAGTTGATGATACAGAGTGTTTGCTTTTTTCCATTTTACTGAAGGGCTGCAGTCAGTGTTTTTAGCTGTCTTGTAGACTTCTGAATTCACTGTAAAGACAGACTTCTGAAGAAGAAATGTTGAAACTTTATCCTAAGCATTCTGTGTTTTCCTCTTAGTAAAATAAATTAATTTTTTTGTACAGAGGTATATATTAACAGCCCAAAATAGTTGGGGGCAGGGGGACTTTGGGGTTGGTTGGTTTGGTAAGAGGTCAGTGACCTAACACAGAGATGTCCATTAATGTTCTTTGGCATTCTGGTACTAGCTATAGCTGCTCTACAGATGGGCTTGTAACACTCGCCTGTGCCTCACAATATCATCATTTAAAGCATCTGTCGATTTCTTTATAATTTTACTTATTTTGCAAGGTAGTGTGAACAAACTAAAAAGCCAGGTCACAAGAAAACTTGAACAATGAATTTTTACTGTTCTCCTCTCTCCAGTTGCTTCATGTCCAAGCTCTTTGTTTCTGGCTTCCTGTTTCCATGAAGTAATTTTTTAATGCATGCTGGTTCTCATTAGCATTGTTAGTTCCTCTTTAGTGTTGTCCCAAAGGTAATAATTGGCCTTTTTATCTGAAATGGAACTAGAAGATGATCAGTTTCTCCAGATTGTCCGGATGTGAATTGTCTGACTTCATTTTTTCCAGTCAATGATGAGATTAATGGAATGGCTAATGTGCACTTAATTTAAGAGAGTAATTGCCAGTAATCAACATGGTTTTATTTTCCCTGCATCTATATGGGAAGAGCAAATGGGTTTCGTATGTTATCTTTATCAATTTCTTTGTAAGGTACCTTCATACTATTGAATAGTAGGGCTTAAGCTAGAAGTCACTGCATTTTTTTTTTGTAGTTGTTAATTGCTATACAGAATGCTAGAGCTGCTGAAGGTTGATTTCTTAATAGTTCTCGTGTGTTGTTGTATCTTTACTGAGGCAAAGTATGAGCTCTTATGTATTTAGAGTCACATGAATTGTGAGAGAATGAGGAAGCTGGCTAGCTAGTAGCTGATAGATAAGTGAGGTTGCTTTAGTTGTTTTCTCTCCTCCAAAAGTGCACAGTAAAGCTCATCTAGGGGTAGGGTAGTGCACTGGTTAGATCTTCCCCTCTGCTTCTTTTGTATATACGCACACAATTAGCTGTTTAGTTTAGAAGTTTGGCTTGAAGGGGAACACTCCATCATCCCCGATCAAATCTCTAGCTGAGGCAGAACAGTGTGACCAACAACATACTGAGGAGGGTTCTGATAATCTGCCTATTGTACCTCTCCAGTTAAACATGTAGATCCTAATTACTGTATGGAAATGTGTATTTTTTGAAGCAGCAGCTTTGGGGAAAAAAAAAAAAAAGTGTAGATAGTGGTGGGTAAGTCATAGCATCAGTGTAATACTGAATTTAAGCAGCTTTACTACCTGAATCTAATAGGTAGTTTATAATAGGAAATCTGATAGGAAAGAGTTTTGTGTTAATTCGATACCAATGTTTATCATTCTTACTCTGGAAATTCAGGACAAAAGAAAGCTGAGAGGGAAGTTACAAGATTAAGGCTGATTAAGGGGTGGAAGACAAATAATACTTCTCAACGGGACTTAAAGGTGCTCAAGGACTTGGAGAGCATGTTGCTGTCTGAGTCATTCTTTCCAGGGAGCTAAAACCTGAGGAGGGTATTGGCACTTAGCAGCTGAGACATTCAGTGGATAGGCATTGAACTTCTGGCTGGATTTTTATGTCCTTCTGAAAATGTGGACAACACCAGCATTGGACCAGCTTACCTGTAATGTTATGGGACTTGCAATTAAATTTTATCCAGAATCGATAACCAGTAGCGCTCATACATGGATACTATACGTTCAGGGGATCTGGTAGCATTTCTAAGAATCTGATAAATAGTGGTTAAGACATTTTGGTAAGTATAAAATTCCCTTTTTAGGAAGAAAAACGTTTAAGGAGGGATTGTTTCTTTTCCAGTTGTTTCTCCAGCGTTGTGTTTAGCTGGCTGTTGGTTTATTTCCCGTATAGAATCGCAGGGCCGTGGAGGCTGGAGAGGACCTGGAGTGCACCTCGCTCACCCCAGCTCTAGCGGGTCAGCCGGAGCAGGCCGCCCGGGGGGTGAGTATCTCCAGGGGTGGAGACAACACAAGCTTCCTGGGCAGCGCGTCTTCCCGCTCTAATTTCCTCCTTTTTTCCTCCTAATTTATTTCTGCATATTGTGGGGTTGCAATGCAGGCCTTCGAGGCGGAGGCTGAGCGGTAAATGCAGCCGGAGCGCTACTGCCGGGCCGACCAGAGGTTAGGCGCCAGGGGCGCCGCGACCAGCGGTCGGTTACCCAGGAGGGCTGGGGCGGGGGAGAAGCCCTGGCTCGCCCTGGCAGCTCTCCCTCGGGCAGACCGCTCGGCCTAGAGCTGTGCGCTCACATCGCGGCGGTGCCTGCTGCGCGGTGCGCCCTCCTCGGCCCGTCTG